TTAAAGTCGAAGATCAGAAATCTGTCCTCAACGTCGCAGATGTCATCGAGTCGTGCTACTATTCATTCCAGAGCCAATCTGTCGTATTTATCTCCTGACACAAAGGGCGTAATACGAGTATGCAGCTATTTTGTAAACGTGTCCGAGGTGTAGTATGCAACGATCGACGACCGCCACCAATAAACGAACCTCCCCCACTTTTTTATCCACCGATAAACCTCTCACGACACCTCGTCATCGTCGAACAAACTAGTCGGCGGATATTATAGGGCCACTCCGCTTCTACAGCGCCCCACCCACCCCTCCCTTGCGCTAGAACAGTCGTCTCGTCCAAACGAAACTATTCTCCTCCTGTATTATCGTTTCCAAACGGAACTTCAACGCCAATTTCATTCACAAGTTAAAAACAGTTGAAATGAAAACGACAAACTAGGCGGAACTTATCGTCGACCTGCGCTACTTAATTGCTCGCTCAATTCAACACCTACCGAAAAAAATCCTCCAGCCAGGCCGTTTTCCTTCGTTTTCTCGCGCTCTCGTTCTTCTGTCGAGAGGGGGCGAGGAACAGGGTTAAAGAGACGGAAGGGTGGTCCATTCACCCAAATGGGAGGGGGAGGGTGAAACGAGCCGGAAACCGCGGGAACGCGCGACTTCGACTTCCCGGGCGGTGGTTCGAGCTATTCGTGCGACGAAAGTGAAAGCTCTCTCTCCTCCACCTCCTTCTCCTCTGTCCTTTCACAGGCTCGTGCCGCGATCGCGGCGGGCACATGCATTTCGAAGAAGGTCGGGACCGTAAAAGACCCTTCGAGAGGAGGGTGGGAGATGCACTTGATTTTCTTTCAGCAGCCGCTCTCTCTCTTGTTCGTCTTAACGAGACAAGAGGTCGACGGCCTCGGGCGGTGGAACCTCCGAGAGAATCTTCCCTCGTGGGGATTTCTTGATCTGCGGATCGGCGAGTTTTTTTGGAGATGAAAAGTCGATGCAGAGACGATGGTGGTTTCTCGATCTTCGTCCTGTTGATTCGACGCGGAAGCGGAAACCGCGAAGAGGAAGAATGAACACACGCACGCTGCCTGAATCGATTAACGATTCTCACCCCTCTCGGGGAGATTCGATTCGCACCTGCGTCACGCCGGATGGCCGGAATTCGACGGCCGGCTTGTTTGTCCCGCTGTGCACCGTACACAGAGTATAATTTTCACATTAACACGAAACTAATTATCTAACCAGCCAGCTGTTCGATGTTCGTTAATTATCACACTGACCCGCCGATCACAAGCCGTCGAATAGAGCCCTCTTCCCGGTGAGATATGCTTTTCCTTTTCTTTTTCTACGTTCTTCTATTTATTAAGTTTGCAACACGAGCGTGTCACACGTGCGTTAAACTAAGCTGTTAAACTGTTAAATTAGAAGTTTTCGCTCGTTTTCTGCACAATGCCTCGAGTGCGGATCGGAAATTCCGAGAATTTGCAACGAGCATTATATAATATATATATATATATATATATATATATATAAGATATATAATAATTTTATATTATTTGTAATAAGGAATATAATATAATATATATATATAATATATATAAGATATATAATAATTTTATATTATTTGTAATAAGGAATATAATATAATATATATATAATATATATAAGCTATATAATAATTTTATATTATTTGTAATAAGGAATATAATATATATTATATATATTATAATATATATTATATATATAATATACGTTATAATATAATATATATAATATACGTATAATATAATATATATAATATATATACAATATATATTATAATATATATTATATATATTATAATATATATAATATATATAATATACGTTAAATTCCACAACCGTTGTCGCAATATATAATAATCGCGAGCGATTATTACAGCGCGGCCGGCTTTCCTCGAAAACTTGGGAAACTCGAAAAATGGCATGAGTTTCGTGAAAATATCGTTACAGAAATATCGAGCTTTCGGAATTGAACGAAACGAAGAGCGTGCCGACCATGTTTTTATCAGTGGCCGCTTCCCGAGGTTTTCGAAAATCGAATTAATCGAAAAATCGTCGAGGGTGGATTAGATTAATGGAAAATAGTCGGGAACGTTTAAATACGAGGCTGAATAAAACGCGGAAACAATGGAGCGAGATGAGGAGGGAGGTGAAAGGGATAGTTTGATGGATGAAACGACGATCCGACGCAGCGCGAAGGAATCCTTCTTACAGGTTGAAAGATTGCATGAAAACGGGGCTTAATTCGCGAGGCGAAAAGCCGTCGCATCGGCTTTTTACTCCCTTGGAACTGATCTAACCAACGAGCTCTCTCTCTCTCTTTCGCGCGCGCGCGAGTTTCAATCCGATTAAGTTGTTGTTCCAAAGAGGATATTTCGTCGTTAAAAATCAGAGGCCGATCATAATCGCGGAATATGTTCCCTTCTCCCAGCGGAGATTCGCCGAGCGATTTCTGATTAAAGTTGAAGCAAAGCCCTCCCGGATTTACAACGAGGAAGGGGCTTCGACTTTAATTGTACGTAAAAAAAAAGAAAAAAGAAAATAATAATGAAAGCAATGGAACTTGTTCATTCGAGGCTTTGCCTTCGAGACGAAATGGAAATTTATCAATGATACTTAAATTTAGCTAATTCGGAATTGGACAAAGAAACAGATGAAAGGCAGAGGGTTGAAAAAAAAAAAATAAGTGAAAGGTGTAGAGTAGAATTCTTATCTGTTCTTAACGTATTCAAAGTCTATTTTGTTGAACGCGAGACTCGAAAACAAGAAGATTTTATTCTTCATTTGTTTCCTTTGACCTCCTGTTCAGTTTACGATTAATATTATAGTTACGAAAGGGAATTGCAAGCTCAATATTTTTTCTTCGTCTCGTATTATACCTCTTCTACATAAACGGATTCTGCAATTTTACGAGGTTTAAAGAAAATGAAGTATTCAGAGCATTATGACTAGATTGCAAATTTTTATGCAAATTCATATTTCTGAGATTGCAAGTAAAAATGTAGAGTCTCGGTAACGTTATAGAAAGACTAGATATTATAGAAAACATTGTAGTTTAAATATTTTATATACATATATCTTTTACATTATGTATCAGAATTTATCTAATTAGTGTCGACAAATAAGCTACGGATTTTCATGAAGTCGTGAAAAATCCCAAAGTACAAAACTGCACGAGTTGCACACAATACGAAAAAAAAATATGTAAAACAACCATATTGCATATTGCTTTCTACGATATTTCGTATGCAAAATAATTTCTATCTTTTTAATAATATTTCCAGAAATGTAAATTCGCAGGAAAAACTGCAGTCTGGTCATAGCAAACAATGGTCATAGCAACAGACGGCGGATATTTACGCATTTGTGGAAAATTTAAAAATACAAGGTTATACAAGGAGCACGTAATAGATACGAAAAAATATACATACAAAATATCCAAAGTATAATACTTTTTACAATATCTGCCGTGTAAAATAATTTTTATTCCTTTAATCATACTTTCGAAAATATAAATTCGCACAAAAAAAAAAAAATCTGTAGTCCAATTTGTTCCAAACAGATTTCCATGCGTTTATTTAAAATTAGAAAATTACGCAACGTGCATATGTAATATGAGAAAAACATATAAAATATCCAAAATATAATGCTTTTCGTAATTTACTTGCCACATGTGAAACAATTTCCTAGATTCTCTCTACTTCTTTGAACAATATTTCCAAAAATTCGCAGAAAAATCTGCAGTCTAGTCGTAACAGAGTGCGGATTTCTGTCTGCGTTTGTAAAAAAATTTGAAAATTCGACCGTTTCGAGTATCTCGGAATTCAACCCGTTAGCGCGGGTGTTTCGAACCGTGGCTACAGCCACTCACAGAATCCCCGAACAATCGGCGTCTCTCTCGACCTTGCGAAATATCGGTAACGTCGGAGATCCGTCGATAAAACAAACACCGATAATGCCTCGGTTAATCGATTTCTATCGCGACAGCGTACCTACCTAACCTCCTCGTGTTGATCCTCGTTTTCGCGTTCGTGGTCCTTTCCCAAGAACCCTCAACTCCTCTCAACCCGATCGTGAAGAGTGGGGTTGACCATGGTCGAATTTCGGTTCGGCATGCATGTTGACAGCGTGTTGTAGCGGAGCTGGAGCTCGTCGGCTGGATGCTGTGGTGGCTCGTGCAGACCGCGCGCACTAATCAATATGGAGGGGAGCGCGTTCGAAACGAGGCGAGGGAGGGATGGCTTTCGCCCTTCCGCGCGTCACATTCCCTGTGAGCCTGGCCGTTTCCAGTCTCATCCTTCCGAACGCGGCGTACCCCGCGAGCGTCATCGTCTCGACGTGTGCGTCACGGATCCTCTGCCTGGACCGAGCGGTGTTCCCGTTTCTTTCGAAACGCCGTTTCTCCGCACGAACGTTGCCGCGCATGCGCCCGGCACGCGTGCGTTCAACGCGCATGCGCCGGACCACTCGCAACGCTCCTACCGTGTCCCGTGCCGTTCCGTTACGGTTCCTTCTTTCGTCTTTCCTTTTTTTCCTTCACGACGTTGAAAATCCACTGAAAAATGTGTCATTTGTCATAAATACAATTCAGGAAGAATTCTCGATGAGAATTACAGATTGTTGAATCTGGTTTCGAACGTTGTTCGTTGAGAAACAGGAACGCGTTTCGGTGTAAATGCGCCCGTTGGAGAGGGGTGGGGGGCGGTGAGAAAGCAGGCCTCGCACGCTGGCTACGTTGGTGCGTGGAACAGGGGGGGG